TCTCTGTCTCAAAAAAAAAAAAGCTATCTCTAAGATATGTGATTAAGTGAGAAAAGCAAGGTGCAGGATATATTCTATCATTTGTGTAAAACTGTTCTTCAGAATATATTTGTATTTGTACATGTACAGGCTGTCTCCAGAAGGTGCTCCTAAAAATTATAATAATGTTGCCTCAAAAGAAGGAAATGAGGGAAACAGGAAAGAGGAATCCAGATGAGAGGAAAACTTTATGTCACTGGAGTGGCCTTTCTTCTGTACTTTGAATCTTTTACTTGGTGCAAGTATTAACACAAAAACAAAACCAAACAAAAAACTTTAAAATGTAAAAACCTTGGGGGAAACCGCATCAGTTAGTTTTCTAAATGCTTCAGCACCGGGGCGCCTGGGTGGCTCAACTGGTTAAGCATCCGACTTCGACTCAGGTCATGATCTCACAGTTTGTGAGTTCAAGCCCCGCGTCGGGCTCTGTGCTGACAGCTCAGAGCCTGGACCCTGCTTGGGATTCTGGGTCTCCCTCTCTCTCTGCCCCTCCCCTGCTCACACTCTGCCTCTCTAGCTCTCAAAAACAAACAAACATTAAAATAAATAAATAAAGCACTTTATGGCATAAGCCTCTTCATTTTGAAGGCAGCCCCCCCAAAAATGCTGCCTCCAAGGGGAAAAAAACCCCACAACGATTCAAGGGCCCCCAAGTGTTGCTGTTGACCTGGTACCTTCATGCAGAACCACTCTGCCTCTTTTTTTTTTAAGTTTATTTTTATTTATTTTGAGAGAGAAAGACAACAAGTAGGGGAGGGGCAGAGAGAATGGGAGACAGAATCCCAAGCAGGCTCCGTGCTGCCGGCACAGAGCCCATCGCGGGTCTTCAGCTCACAGACCGTCAGATCGTGACCTGGGCCGAAATCAAGTCAGATGCTTCACCGACTGAGCCCCCCAGGCGCCCCAACACTAGTTCTTAATGTGACTTCTAGGATCGGGTTTGGACAAGTATGGGTTCAGCCAAAACAAGAGGACTGTGTCCTTTGACAACAACATCAAATTCTCCCTTGTATGCAGTAAATAAGAAGTTGTTTACCTTTCAGCAAAGGTATCGAGTTTCCCCAGCTCATCAGAGAGGCCAACGAGGGAGTCCAAAGTCCCCACCTAGAAAGGTTGCAAAGAAGTTAGAGGCTCGTGCTTTGTGGAAGGGAGAGTGTAGGTCACTTTCAACAACAGGGCTTCTGTAACTTCCATCTTGCCTTAGTTATTCTTGGTCAATGGCCAAACTGGAAACTGGGAAGAGCTCTTAAGAGAATCAGTGGACTGGGGATATTTTCTAATTTTTAAATTCTAAATTTTAACTATTTTCTATTTTTAAATTTTAACGGTTTCCTAATTGTTGAATTTTTGCCAACAAGATGAACTGTTACATCTCTGCCATAGGAAGGAGCAGCTTCTGGATCATTGTGGGAGCCCAGCTCATTGTCTTAACATGGTGGTCTGCTGGTCACGTGATCAATCCCCATCGCTGAGGAGGAAATGTACCAGAAAGCAAGTGAAAGAAGTTACCGTTTCTTTTTGTTTTTAAATGAAAGTTACCATTTCTTTTTTTTAAAGTTTTTATTTATTCATTTTGAAGAGAGAGAGAAAAAAATGCACACATGTGAGCGGGGGAGAGGCAGAGAGAGAGAGGGAAGGAGGGAGGGAGAGAGGGGGGAAGAGAGAGAGAGAGAGAGAGAGAGAGAGAGAATCCCAAGCAGGCTCTGCGCTGTCAGCGCAGATCCCAACATGGGGCTCGATCTCATGACCACGAGATCCCGACCTGAGCTGAAATCAAGAGTCAGGCGCTTAACTGACTGAGCCACCCAGGTGCCCCAAGAAGTCACCATTTCTAAAAGCTTTTCTTCTCCAAGATCTCCAGCCAATCCTGGTCTCTGTTGTTCTTTGCCATTATTAACAATGATCTTGCAGGGGTGAGGTGGGGGGCAGCTCCCCGCCCCCCCCACCTCATCACTCCTGCAAGTCTTTTTCTTGTCAGCTTATAATGATCTGTTTCTTAATGGGAAAATTATCACAGAGCCCAAAACTGTATTTAAAGCTCTCTTCCCAGAGTCAGAAGAGGAGACTTTGTTTTCCAGTTACCAGTCACTCATCAGACATTAAAAAGTAATTAAGATTAACACCGTGTGTCAACTATACCTTAATAAAAAATAAAAATACTGAGGCGCCTGAGTGGCTCAGTCAGTTAAGCGTCCGACTTCGGCTCAGGACATGATCTCATGGTTTGTGTGTTCGAGCCCCGTGTCGGGGCTCAGAGCCTGGAGCCTGCTTCGGATTCTGTGTCTCCTTCTCTCTCTGTCCCTCCCCCACTTGTGCTCTGTCTCTCTGTCTCTCAAAAATAAATAAATGTAAAAAAAGTTTTTTTAAATAAATAGATTTAAAAAATACCTTAAGAAATACCTTAAGAAAGGCAGTTAGGATATGATGAAGCCCAGATATCTCTAGTAAGTACAGTTTGCTTCTCTTCAAGCAACTTGATGTTAAGCAATGTTTGGCAGAGATCCGGTCTCTTATCTTTGTTCCCTCCAGTCTAACACATTTGCCTTTCAAAGAGTCAGCCATTGAGTGGATGCTGAATTCCCCAACCTTCGCAGCATAGGTCGCCAGGCAAACAGTGGCAGCAACATACGGATTCAGAAACCAATGGTGCCACTTAATCAGATCTACAGCCCTGGTCTCCTTTCCCTGCCTTTCCTGATCTATAACACGGGACTTGTGAAAATTCCACACGATGCGTTTAAAGTGCCTGGCCCCCAACACACGGCTCGATAAACACAAGCAAATATAGTCGCATCACCAATAACTAGGATAGCTGATGGTGCAGCTCTTTTGGAAGACCAGCATAATGAGGTTTGAAAGAAGAGGATACGGCAGTTTTCTAGAAGGGCTGCCTCTGGGCAGTGGGGGCCATCCCTCCAGCACCCACAGTGCATTTGCACAGCTGTGATTGAAAAATGCCTCAAGCTTCTTCCCTTTGCAAACTTACGATCTTAGGAAGGACTGCGGCTTCCTAAGTGTCTGACTTCGGCTCAGCTCATGATCTCACAGTTTGTGAGTTCGAACCCCGCGTACGAAGATTTGCAGACCTTGCTCCTGTTTCATACCCGGTTCTAACTTTGTTCTCCTCTGCAAGAACCCTTTGACTTTCCTGCCCCCTGTCTTTCTGCCCGGTTATTAAATTCCCTTCCTGCCTCTCCATCAGAACCACGAGGATCCTGACTCTCCCGTCCTGCTCCCAGTGCAAGAGCACAATCAAGGCTGAAGCTCTCCAAGCCTGTACATTTCGACTGTACTGTGGGGCCTCTTAGATGTCGAAGACAGAACAGGAAGAATCCTAGAACAACTCACACAAGCCCAGGTGTGGAAAACACTGTCCCCTGCCACCCTCTCTCTGTTCGTTCTGTCCTGTGTTTGTAAGTCCACAGGAACCACAGTGAACTCGGGCTGTGGCATGAAGTCCCATCCAGACCACTGACTTGCCCTGTGCATTCTCACCCCCAGGCGTATCCTGTTTGCTCTCATGTGTCCCCCTTGGCTTCCCAGGAGACACCCACCCGCCCCAAACCATCATCTCCTTCGTCTTCCCCAGGAATTTTACCTTGAAGTCAGGAATCGAGAATTTGGTGTTATAAGACAGGTTGGACTTGGAGGTTACCGCGTTCATCCTCTCCAGAGCTTGTAAATTTTCCTTATCGCCAGGGGCGGAAATTAACCAAAACTCGGACATGGCTTCCAGGCTTCTTTTACCCAGTTACTGCCCAGAAAGAACCACGGCAACACGCACAAACAGAAACAGGAGGAGAGAAGTGTCAAATATCTCCACTCCTTCACCACTTCCCTTCCCTCAGAATTAATCCACCCCAGGACGTGCTGCCTTTGCTACGAATCCCATTCTTTGTCTCTGCGACCTTCCCGGTTCAGATGCGTCGGTTCCAAGGACACCCCTGTGCTGCTCGGCAGTGTCCTTATCTTCATTTGAAAAGACCGCAAGTCTTCAGTTGGAAAGCCCTCGGGTCTCCACAGAACCTCCGGAACCATCCCTTGGGTGGTTCTGACCGGTTTTAAGGGTTGGGGGGAGGGATGGGGAGAGCGAGATCCCGTTCCTTTCACTCCCCTCTCCTGACACCAGAATGCAACTTGGGGGGAGGGGGGGATGCGGACAGCGAGCCGGGCGTGGGGCTTTCTGAAATCCTTGCCTCCTTCCCACGTCGCACTTTCTGGGATGCAGGGAAGGCAGGAACGAGCCAAGGTGGCATGTTCACAGCAAGCGCTTGGGCAAACCCCGGGCCCTATCTGCCCAGCCTTCAGGATGGTGCTAGCCTTAAAAACAGACTTCAGAGGGGCACCTGGGTGGCTCAGTTGGTTGAGTGTCTGACTTCGGCTCAGGTCATGATCTCACAGTTTGTGAGTTCGAGCCCCGCGTCGGGCTCTGTGCTGACAGCTCAGAGCCTGGAGCCTGTTTCAGATTCTGTATCTCCCTCTCTCTCTGACCCTCCCCTGCTCATGCTGTCGGTCTCTCTCTCAGAAATAAATAAAACATTTAAAAAAAATTAAAAAAAAAAAACAGACTTCAGAAGAACTCCCCTCTTTCCCAAATAAGGAGGAAAAAAAGCCGGGGGTCGGGGGGGGTGGGGAGTACTGACGTTTCCCACCAGCCCAGGTGTCCACGCCGCAGAGTGCGGGGCCTGGCACTTTCGGTCCAGCGCCTGCAGCCTCCAAAGCCCATTAGCTCTGCTCATTCAAACGTGCGCACACCCACACCTCTGTCCCCTCGGCGCGCTCTCCCTTCCCATCGCCCCGCAAAGGGTGCCCGGAACGCTGGCGAGAAACGGGGTGACAGCCAGAGGCGCCCCCCGGGAAGCTGTTCCTCTTCGGACCCCCACCCCACTCCACTCCGAGACACCCTTAGTCCCCGCGAACTCCGAGCGCGACGAACGCAGCTCCTCTCGGTCTCGACGGGCATGGCCCGGGGACAAACTGGCCCAGCGCAGAGGCTGGGGAGACGCCACCTGCGCCCGGCCCCGGGGAGGGCGCCGCCGAGGCGCCAGGTCCCCGGCTCCCGCCGAGAAAGCGCGACCCGGGCGCGCGGGGCGGCTCGCGCTGGTCCCCGGGTCCCGGCGCCGCCCCCCCAACTCCCGCCGCCGCCGCCCCGCGTCCCCGGCCCGCCGCGAGTCCTTACCGGGAGCCGGCGGCCGCGCGGGCGTGCAGCGGGCGGGCACGGGCCGGAGCGCACGGCCGGCTCCCGGGAGGCGGCGGCTTCTGGGCGGCGCCCCGCCCTCGAGCCTTTATCCGCAGCGGGAGGCGGCCCCCGCCCGCCCCCTCGGGCATTTGCATACCCGGCCGCCCGCCTCCCACCGGGGCCCGGCTGGGGCCCGCGCGGGTCGGGGGTCGCCCCGGCCCTGGGTCCTCCCGCCGAGGTGGGTCCTGGCGGGATTCTGGGGGCGCAGGGGGTCATCGGGCGAGAGGCTCCAGCCCACCACGTAGCAGAGCGCACGACCGAGGGAACAGGCGGTGCGAAGTACTCGGGGGCCCGACTCCCCGACTCGGGACTCCCACCCCCACCCAGCGGTGACAGGGCTCGGGGCGGGGGGGCTCGGGACTCAGTGCTGCGGGAAGAAACGCAACAGGTCCGCATGTGTTTTGGAACACACCTGGCCAGAGGCCCAGACCTTCCTGTCCGTGTGGGCGTGAACTTGCCCCCGGTTGCCAAGGAAACTCTCCACCGCCAGACACGCCCCCCCATCCCCTTCAAAACTGCCCTGGATGTAGGAGGGATTTAAAACTTGGAGTCTAAGGACCACGGTGTGAGGTCATGATCCGTGCTGTTTGAGGAAAGAGAGGGAAACGCCAGAAATTAAGGCGTGAATGTTAAAAACAAAACAAGAAAACTCTGACTTCATTTTCTCTGGGGCAAAGGAGGAAACGTTAGTGTATTCTTCCCTTGGACGATGTTTTCAGCGGTTTCTGGGAAAGATAAAAATCTCAGAATTAGTTTTTGGGGGGTGTTGAAGAAGGTATGGTGGCTTCCTTGAGAAGGAGCTCCGCCTTCCTGGATAAAACTAGTGAGGCTACCGCCCCCTTGCTGAGAATGCTTTGGGGGGAGGGGGTCTTTGGAAAGAAAGGCAAAGTGTGACTCGGGATGTATCTGGCATGAGCCTCGGACGCAGAACAGAAAGGTGGCTCACACCGCAATCCCATCGCGGGCTTGGACCCGGCAGTTCTGACGTCCCAGCACCTGCACGGTGCATCACTGCTATTGGGACACTCGTGTGCATTAGTCAGTCCTTGCAACATCTTCCTGAGGGTGGACACCTGAAACCAGGGGATGAGGAAACTCCATGTGCACAGGGAGGTTAAATTCCAGCGAAGGAGTGGCCTGGTTGGACATTGAACCTGGGGTCTCCGATCTTGGACTTGACCCCGTAATACCATTCTTTCCAGCGAGACATAACAGAATTGTAGAGCTGGGGGTGGGGGGCAAACCTCAATTATAAACAAGAGTAGGGGACCCCCCAAGTTGCATGAATGGCTGGGTGTCATGTCTGGTGAATGGCAAAGCTCTGAGTGGGACCCGGGCCTGGGATCCAAGGGTCCTTTGCCCTGCTCCCGGCAAGCCTGCAGGACTGCATCATAACTCTGGGGAAGAAAACGCTCTCCATTTCAGATAATGTCTTTCTTGAATATTCAGAGCCACTGAGCTGGCTTCTCAGAGATTGCGCAGCATTCTTAAGAGGTGTCCCCGACTTTGCTTTTGGCACCATTCTTTCTATAAATATGGTTTCCTCTAACAAGCTGGTTTCGTGAAATAAGAGTCAGACACAAAATAACTCCTGGATGTCTGATTAAGAACATATTAAGGAACTCCAGTGTTCCTTGTCTGACTTAAAATCTTCCTACTGAAAATCTAAAATCTTTCCAACTATTGTACATCTTGGGCTTCTTGTTAAACACTGGAAGTTGTCACAGTTGATGACCTCTGCTCTACACACAGCATTACTTTTTTCAACTAACTTTTCTCTGCTTATCAAGGGAATTCTATGCTGCTTATAGAGAATTTGGAAAACAGAAAAGTATAAAGAAGAAAGTAAAAAATTGCCTGTGTTCCCATGATCTGAAAATAACCACCATTAGCATTCTCTTTGATACTTCTCTTTCTTCCTTCCTTCCTTCCTTCCTTCCTTCCTTCCTTCCTTCCTTCCTTCCTTCCTTTCTTTCTTTCAGTAGGCTTCACGCCCAGCATGGAGCCCAATGTGGGCTCCCTGAGCTCAAGACCTGAGCTGAATCAAGGGTCGGATGCTTAACTGACTGAGCCACTTAGGCGCCCCCCTCTTTGTTATTGTTTAATGCGTATTCATATATACAGGCATAGACTTTTTGGCATGACCGAGATTATATATTATACATAAGGTTTGGCAGCTTTCTGTTGATTGTTTTGTAAAGATCAAAGAATTATCAAACCTATCTTATCAGTGAAGGATAATCCAATGTCATCAGCAATTTACTACAGCTCAGAACTTGAGTCAGATGCATTGGATTTCAAAGGTAAATAGAGATCTGGTTGGACAACTTACATCTTAAAGAAAAGAAAAAAAAAAACCAGAAAGAGGAGGGAGAGAGAGATGAAAACAACACTATATTGCCCCAGGGGACATTTTGATTTGCAGCTTTCCGAGGCAACTTCTGTGCTCCTTGGTTTTGAATGGAGTCGTGTTATTCTCGCAAGTTTCCCTATAATCAATCAGTCTTTAGCACAGAGAAATAAGGAGAAATCCACCAAAGTGGTGGCACATGGTCCCTTGGTCCATCTGGAGGGCATAAAAAGCATTCCCAGTAAGGAAAGTGGCTCCCTGCCATACATGAGCCTGAAACAGCTTTTAACAACCCGTGTTCGGTTTCCGCAACTGTCCCCGCCCTCCCAATGTCTCTGAAATCCACAGCTAAGCGATGACAAGTTCATGTGCCTTGACCACTGCTTTTACAGTACTCCCAGGTTACGAAAGGTGCCCCACTGTCAGAACCCTGAAAGAACCCAGGTTATAATGAATACTCTCTCTTCCCGGGAATAAAGCCGAGGGAGGAAATACTATCAGCCTGGCATAATCTCGAGCTTATTATGAACTTGGCGTTGGCTACCTAGTCCAGAAAGGTTTCTGCAGTTGGCCCTGGTTATGCATTGAGCCAGCTGAAGTCTGTACAAGGGGGAACAGTCCCATCAAGTTTGGGAGCCAGAAGGACCAGGCTGGCCTAGCTGGTCTGTTAGCCTCTAGCCTCTCCCAGATGGTGCCCTTTGGATCTCTTTATTATCTCGTGGAGACAGCTCTCACAAGATGCTCCTTACCATTAGCACAGACACATAATTGCACTTGTAGGAGGCTCAGGTGGACTTTTCTAGGCTTTTCTGAGAAGAACCCAGGGAAGTTTTTCTAGAAGGACAGCTCTCTGGTGGAGACAAATGTAAGAATAGTCTGTTGCGTCAGTATCGTGTTGTGGAAACAGATTAGGCTTTGGAATTGGGCAATTGAATAAGCTACTTAGCCTTCATCAGCTGCAGGCTTCCCATCTGAAAACTTGTGAGGGGGGAGAGGGGGGGAGGTGAGCATAATTATATCCACCTTTCAGCCTCATCCTGTGGGTGAGAGAGAGCCCGAGGCACCAGAGAGGGTGCTTGAAAGCTGTGGTGGGCTCAGTGAATGTTCCCTTCACTTCCCTCTCCCTCTCTTGTCTTCCATGTTCTAGAGATTTTTCCACCTTAAGTGTGGGCCGTTATACTAAGGGCTCAGGGATGCCCATCATCTTTCTCCATGGGCCCAAAGAACTTTCATCTATGTCTTCCATTCAGCCAATGCCCTTGTGATTCCAGGACAGCCGTCAGGATGGCTTTCACTCTTTCATTGGATAAACTAAGGCCATGAATTCTCACGGTCTCCTTGCCCAAGCGTACAGTTAAGGAGAATGCTAGTCTTCCTTTGCTCATTTAAGAGGTTGTTATTGTTGTTTCTGGTGTCTGCAAGGCAGTGGGGGGAGTGCAACTATAAGGGAGCACTTTCAATCCAACGAGAGAGTAAAACAAGTGTGGTAAACAGAATTTTGAGTAGTCTGAACTCCCTAAGGTCTGAATACCAGGCTCTGGGAAGGATGTGATACATGCATAAAAATGAGGCATAAGCGTTCAAGAATGCCATGATCCTTGTTTCACAGATGAAGAAACAGGCCCAGGGAGGTTAAGTGATCTAATCAAGAGCTCAGTTAATGGTAGACCTGGAACTTGAACTTCATTCTTCTACCTCTGAGTGCATCTTGCTCAACAAGGTCTAAGCCACCCTCCACTGCCCTGGCCAAAGAACTAGTCACCAGCATGCTGCCTGTGACTACGTTCCTGGCTCGTCCACTCATTAGCTGAGTGAACTTGACTCCGGTGGGCTCCAAAACAGGGATACCGACAGGACCTGTCCCCTGTGGTTCTCTGGGGACTCTGTGACGTGGCACAGTGCCCGGCCCATATGAAGTACTGGGTCAAGATTGCTAGGAGTATTAGCCACCTCCAATACTCTCCGCATCTTTTCCTTCGTCTCTCCTTTCCAAGTTCTGTTTTCCCCTCACAGCATTCTTTGGGAAGATGCTGACTCTGGGGGCGTCTGGGTGGCTCAGTCGGTTAAGCGTCCGACTTCGGCTCAGGTCATGATCTCACAGTTCGTGGGTTCGAGCCCCACGTCAGGCTCTGTGCTGACAGCTCAGAGCCTGGAGCCTGCTTCGGATTCTGTGTGTCCCTCTCTCTCTGACCCTCCCCCGCTGTCTGTCTCTCTCAGAAATAAATAAAACATTAAAAAAAAAAAAAGAAAATTCTTTTGTCTATAGTATAGTGAAATTTTTAAAAACTACAAATGAACAAATTCAAATAATTTTAGATAAAATCACAGACAACAGATTTATAATGGACTATTGAAATAAATTACATTTTTCCCCAGGGACCACTTCTACCTATTTTGAGATTGGTATTAAAGAGANCAGTTCGTGGGTTCGAGCCCCACGTCAGGCTCTGTGCTGACAGCTAGCTCAGAGCCTGGAGCCTGCTTCGGATTCTGTGTGTCCCTCTCTCTCTGACCCTCCCCTGCTCACGCTGTCTCTCTCTCTCTCAGAAATAAATAAAAAACATTTAAAAAAAATAAACATTAAAAATTAAAAAAAAAAGATGCTGATTCTGCCCTCCTGTAAACACATGCCTCATTTGTCACTCATGCATTCAGTCACTTCAAACACGTCTTTGATGTAGTTAGCCTTGGAGGAAGTCGAGCACAGCATGTGCTCCAGAAAGAGGCTACAGCAAAGAGCCACGCAGGGGGTTGGGGTCTGGCTGTGGAAATTGAGAGGATCCAACCTCACATCCCAGTTCTGAAGCTTATTAGCTGTGTCCTTACCAAGTACCCAATCTTTCCGAACTCCAGTTCCTCTGCTATAAAATGGGGACTTCAAGGTCTGGTTAGAGAGTTATAATAAAAATTGAATGGCGATACCTGGGTACCTCAGTCAGTAGGTTAGGTGTCTGACTTGGGCTCAGCTCATGATCTTAGGTCATGAACTCTGTGAGTTTGAGCCCCGCGTGAGGTTCTCTGCTATCAGCACAGAGCCCATTTCAGATCCTTGTCCCCTGCTCACTCACTCTCTGTGTCACTCTCAAAAATAAATAAACTTTTTTTTTTTTTTTTTTTTTTTTTTTTAGTTCTTGGTGCTGAGTAGATGCTCAGGGAATATATTTTGGATCACCTAA